TATATATATATATATATATATATATATATATATATATATATGTATATAGATTATATATATATATATATATATATATATATATATATATATATATATGTATATAGATTATATATATATATATATATATATATATATATATATATATATATATATATATATATATATATATATATATATATATATATATATATATACAATAATTATGTTATAGGTAATATAAATAGTAAAGTAAATATTGTACTATGTGTTAGTGTAAATGATATACGCGTAAATTCAAGGGTGTTATATGGGAGTTTTATAAAATACAAGGACTTGCAGTACACTGGCGTTGTTTAAACACTATTAAACCTACTGATGTGAGACGTGAAACACTTATTGATTGAAGGATTTTACGACAATTTGGAAATGTATTTATGGCTTAGAAATATCAGTATTCACATTTTAATATACATTTTAACCAACAACCGACTGCACTACACGAGAATGGCCAAGTGCTTACATGTTACACCTAAATATCTTTTGACTTAATGGATAACACAATTAATATAATCATAAATCATCGGTGGTAACTGTGGAAATGAAAGAAAACCACGATAAAACAAAAGTGAAGTTATAGTTCAAGTGTGAACAAAAAAACGTCAGAAGACAACTAAAGTTTAAAATTCTTACAATGCCTTAAATTAATAAATCCTTTTTATTAAGACAGCTGATGTTGCAGACTTACAGTAGCGTACTCTTGTAACTAAAACTACATAATTTAATTAATAGTCTACCAGTTTATTGAGAAGCAGTAAGAAAATGGATTTTAATATTGCATATAATTCATTTCAGACATGCTAGAAAATTCCAAGGTTTTGTTTACCAAACAGGATGGAGCAAACATCACTTGCTTAAACCAAACTCTGGTTAGGGTCGTCGACAACGTCACTGATATCTTTTGTTCCAACAATATTTTGATAAATCAAGTTTTCATAGACTTCAAAACAAACAAATCTATTTGCTCTGTCTACATTAGCGGAGGTAAATGATTAAATTTCATTTTTCAGCTTAGTGCAAATGCTATTAACACATAAAAACCGTTAAAAACATAGCTGACCTCATCTTGTGAATGGCTCCCGGTCAAAAAACCCCTGGACATAAACCCCCTGGACATAAACCCCCCGACATAAACCCCCTGGACATAAACCCCCCGACATAAACCCCTTGACAAAAAACCCTGCGACATAAACCCCCTGAACAACCCCCCCCCCCCCCCCCTCCGCGACATAAACCCAGGGTTTTTTGTCGCGGGGGTTTTTGACCGGACACCCTTGTGAATTTTGCTGGTAATTGTTGTCAGATGCTATGCGGCACATTACGTCTAACTGTTGATGTTATCAGCTTTGAAACAGTCATAAGTATAATTTATTATTTTAAACTTTGCAACACATTTCATTTGCTAATTAATTTCAGATAATTAGAAGAGCATTTCAAAATACTGTGATTTTTTTCTGACACATATATGCTTTTGAAATGTATTGATTATTTAAAATTCAAATTTAATAAGAATGTCTTATTGGTAATAGATAATTTAACTACATTTTGTTGGAGAAAAAAGCCTTCGCGAAAACGGCATTTGGACAAACGCTTAGGGATATTACCTTAGACCCAATCTCCACAGCACATAATATATTTTAAGCTTTCATTAAATAAGAATTTGCATTTTTTTTCATTTCTGAAGTTTGACAAACAACTCTACGTTCATTTCTAGTAAGCCGTTCCATTTCAAATCAATACGTTTAAACGTTTAAAGGAGAAAATTTTTATTTAGGAATGGTTAGAAGAAAGTCCGAGGCTAACCCGGGGCAAATTGCACCATACAGGGCCGTCGACTGACGCGCCTGATTCAGTTTAGTAAAAATCTATAATACCCATGTAAGCGCTATAGAGCTCATGGAATAACTCGGGGCGCTATGGTGCCGCTGTGCGAAATTTTTTTTCGCAGAAACCTCTCCGGAGAAATAAGTCTGGAAGAAACACTTCTAGCCCAGGAGTCCAGAGGCGTAGCTACCCTTCCACGCGCCCTGGGACAAACTTTCATTTTGGTGCCCCCCCCCCCCCCCGGGAGCAAACTTTCAATTTGCACCCCCCCCCTCAAACTTTTGATTTGCACCCCCCAAACTATTTATAACGCAAAAATGCAGCTAAAAGGACATTTTAATTTGTTTTTACAACCCATTTTGGCGCCCCCTAAGGTCGGCGCCCAGGGACATATGTACCCCCTGCCCCCCATCGCTACGCCTCTGCAGGGGTCGGCAACCTTTTGATACGCAAGAGCCAAAAGTTAAAACAAAATTTCCCAGTTTTTAAAGAGCCACAATTTTTAGTTCAATATTTTGGTATTTGATTAGGATTAGGTAAATAAATTTGATGTGTTATTTAAAATAAATAGCTTTAAAATATGAAATAATATTTATTCATATAAAAACATAGACATGTTTCGCCAGAATAGTAAAATTAGTAATAAAATAATATTATTCTAGGACTATCTCGACCCACTTTAGAAGCTGTTAACTTTTATTTTATTTTTTCTTTACGGATATCACCGGCTCAGGAGGTGTCTCCCATCGGTTTGAATAACTTGCATCGTACGCTTTTATCCTTTGGTTCTCATAAGACTTATCTTCTATCCCACTGAACGCAGGGTAAAGTCGTACCCACCGTCCAGTAAAAATAAAATTATATAACTATTAATATGTGTGCAAGGAGCTGGAGAGCCGCATCTGGACGTGAAAAGAGCCACATCAACCCGCAAGCACCACTCGTACATCACTGTATTATCCAAACGGCTGAATCTATGATGTTTTTATGCTGATAGCAACCAAAGCCGTAACTCATAAACCTCTTTAAAATTTAATTTTACTTATCAAACAATATAACATTTTGAAAAATGGCGCAACGCTCTAGCTGATGTCTGCCGAGATTTTTCTTCTCCCCTTCCCCGTGGTGTAATGTAAACCGCCGACGTACAACATGTATTAAACCACATAGATTTAATTTAACTTTAGTCATTCCGTAGATTTTAACAATTTAATGTATTAGCGTAAGTTTAATGTATTTTTAAATTACCTCCCTTGTAAAAATTAGAAAAAAAGAGTTAAATTAATTTAATTTTTCTACCCTACTGTTATTATGTTATTAAAAGTGAATCCACTTTTTCTGGGAATCCAAGCGAAAATGATATTTGACATTAATCTTTTTAATATGTTTTAGCAGTGTACGTGTATTTGATACTTTCTTGACGTTATGCGAAAGAGTAAAAACAGTGGCATTTATAAAATAACCTTATGTCGTTATATAAACAAACCCAACTCTATTACTTATAATAAGACACTGCAATGCGCTTAAAAGCACTGCATGGAGCGATTTTTACTTTTATGGTTCCAAAATCTATAGCGATGACGGAAGGACTGACACACTACCTAGCCGCTTATATATATATATACATATATATATATATATATATATATATATATATATATATATATATATATATATATATATACATAAATGTGTGTGTGTATATTATAACATACAGTATTGTTTTAACATTTTTATTAAAATTTTAATTAATTCTTTAAAAAAAAATATATAGTCTTCTAAAGAAGTCAACATTAATGTCACATTGCATTGTCATCGGTTCTTGCCCCATGTGCCGAATTTGAAAGAAATTGATTTGTTAAAAGTGCCCGAAATTTCGCTCTATCGCTAAGATCTGACAGGATTATGAAAGAGGAAGCAAGTTAAATAAAAGTTTGTAAAAAAATTCCAAAAAAGCATTTTAATTTCTAGCTTTTACGTACTATATATTTAAAAAAGACTCATTTATTTTCTACTTTTTAGTGCATTAGTACATAAAAGCTTGTTATTAAAAAAGTTTTTTATGAATATTTTTCAGTACTTACATTTTTTATTGAAATGTAGTTGCTTGACTAAAAACCATAGCACACCTAATGAACGTGAAGACGCGTGTCTAATAGTGCGGAATAGTTTGATGAGACAGCTAATTAATTTCGAAAAAATGTTCATTATTTCATAAAAAATAAATTAGGCAACCAAATAAGTCAAATTAAAGTACTGAAACAAATAGCATAAAAACGGAAGTGGAACGTTTTCTAATTTGAATTTTTCAAAAGCCTATAATTTGAGTACTATTTCAGATAGATAAATGGAATTTCACATGTAAGTAAATATCTAATTCACTGCCTCCGTTCAAATTTTGATTAATTTCCGTCGACACGAAGTAGTAGTTTAACGCTTTTATTTTTACGCAATTCTATTCTATTATAAAAAGTTTAAGTAATTAAAAATGGATTACAAATCATGTCGATATTCTGAGTTGCCTCCGTAGTGTTATATTAGAATATTCGAGAAAGTTTAGGGGAGATCACTCCCAGTTTATTAAGATTATGTCCAATCATAACATATTATTTGTTCGACAAATCTTTAGGTCGTAATGTTGCCCTAAAGCAATCAACCTGGCAATCAAGCAATTGGATAGAGAAAAATATAACATTTGATTCTTCTCGAGCTGTAGACGGGAATACAAGTGGTGATTTGTTACTTGACTACTCATGTGCACACACTCTACCAGACGTGCCTGGATCTTGGATTTTAACATTTAAAAAACCAGTTTATCTTAACAGATATCTGCTATATAATAGAGGTAAATGATATTGTATAATATAAATTCGTTGGCTTTTTAACAGCAATTATTAAAAATAGCTTTAGTTTTAACCAGACCGATTATGGGTTTCAGATGATAATGGCATTAACTACAACTACCGTCAACGTCTCAGTGGATTCACTTTAACAAGCTATAACTCAACAAATGATACCATCTTCTATTACCATGACACTACTCTTGACAAAAACATCACTGTTTACTACGTGACAACAACTACACCATCAACACCCGTGTCTTATTTTATTGTAAATACTACAGATATCCTCACGTTGTGTGAGGTGGAGACTTATGGTGGTAAGTCATACACTTAAATATATATATATATATATAAATATATATATATATATATATATATATATATATATATATATATATATATATATATAATACACAATTTAAATTATTTGTGGTTTTAGCAGTGGCGTAAAAGATTACCCGGTGGGCTGTAGGCATAGAAAGATATATATATATATATATATATATATATATATATATATATATATATATATATATATATATATATATATATATATATATATATATATATATATATATATATACTAGATGTCCCGGCCAGGCCCTGCTCTGGCCTCTGTGAAAAAACTTTCTGTTAAATACCATTACCTGTGTGTTTAGTAATCATCATTTACACGGCATTGCCCATCCTAACCACAACCACCCAAAACAAAAAAAAACGCAAACATAACGCAAACACAATTACAACTACAAATGAAAACAAAAACCTAACAACAAACCCAACCACAACCACAAACACCAATACAAACACAAAGAAAAAACAAACGAAAAAAGCAAACGAAAACAAACCAAATACAAACGCAAAGCCAACCACAACACAACACAACACAATACATACACAACACAACACAATCGGGGACGTCTAGTATTAGATCTATATCAAATGGTATATCTTCTTGTAGTTTGGTGCAAGTATCTATAAAAGACCTTTGTGGTGCGACCAACAAAAACGAATTCCCCTTCGTGCGCAAAAAAAGGACAGACAAAATTAATGCGCAAAAAAAGGCACAAATAATAACCTGCGGGAATTCCCATTCCCGAATAAAGATGCCTTTTGTTACTTCACCTGTCTTTGATTAAAAGTAACTAGCTGCATCCATTGCTCCACCACGGTTTAATCTTTTTAAAATGTACCAACTTTGGAACAGAACAAAACAAACAAAACCACAACACAAACACAACACAACCCCAACACAACCACAACACAACACAAATGTACCAACTTTGGAACAGAACAAAACAAACAAAAACACAACACAAACACAAACAAAACCACAACAAAACCACAACACAACCACAACACAACCCCAACACAACCACAACACAGCACAAATGTACCAACTTTGGAACAAAACAAAACAAACAAAAACACAACACAAACACAAACAAAACCACAACAAAACCACAACACAACCACAACACAACCCCAACACAACCACAATACAACACAACCACAACACAACCACAACACAAACACAAACAAAACACAACACATCCACAAAACAAACACAAACACAAACAAAACACAACAAAACTACAACACAACCACAATACAACACAACCACAACACAACCACAATACAAACACAAACAAAACACAACACAACCACAACACCAACACAAACACAAACAAAACACAACAAAACTACAACACAACCACAACACAACACAACCACACCACAACCACACCACAACCACACCACAACCACAACACAACTACAACACAACACAACCACAACACAACCACAACACAACTACAACACTACCACAACACAACCACAACACAACCACAACGCAACCACAACACAACCACAACATTATAATCACTACCAAACAACACGCTTTTTTAGGCGTCCACGCCCAAAGAGAGACTCCAGCATTAAAAGTTTAAGTCACATAAATAGATCCTACTCCATAACTTACAATAAAACAATGCGATGCAAATAAATGTACGGCAAGTGGTGTTTACTTTTATGGTTCTAAGAAAACACATTGGCAATGTAATTAGAATCACCACCGAAAAACACGCTTTTCCCAAGTGTCCGCGCCCAGAGAGAGCCTTTCCAGCATTCTCTATATTATAATTCTAAAATTTCACCATCTGTTAACACCGAAAAGAAAAAACAAAAAATAGTGATTTTGAGAGTTCATAGACTAATTAGAAAATAATATAAATAATCTTAACATTTTTCTATTTCACTTATGAACCTTAACATATAACAATAAATGTGGTAGTAATAAAAAAAATTAACTTAAATTATTGAGAGTGAGTGGAATATTAAAAACACGTTTTCCCCGACGTCTGCGCACAGATAGAGCCTTTTCATCATTCTCAAAAAGTCTAATTTCACCATCTGTTTTCATAACACCGAAAAACAAAAGCAAAAAGATAGTTATTTTTGAGAAATCATAGACTAATTAGAAAACAATAAATAATATAAATATATCTTAACATTTTTCTCTTTTAATTATGAACCTTAACATATAATAATCAATGCGGTAGTAATTAAAAAAAATTAACCCATATTATCCCAAGGTCTCAAATTTTTATAATTTTTTTATATGGTTTAGCTTTTGGGCACTGAATGAAGGAATGACTATGGATTTTTTTTTTTTTAAATCAATACTTTTTTAAATATCGATTTTTTTAAAAAACGTCCCATAAATGGGACGCTAGCAACGAACGGCCCCATGTACATTTATTGAAAAATAAAATCATTTATCACGAAATATGACTACTCAAGCAAAAATTAAGCTGTATTCTGATTTTGTATTGTTAGACCAATGATAAAATTGTTTAGGACAGCAAAAAATACTGATAATGATCAGTTGGGTTAGCCATACCATGGTCTAAAATGCAGAAATTATGTTCAAAATTCTAGTTTTCTTTCAATCTAGCATCCATCAAAGTGAACAACACTTGGAAATAAGTAAAGCTGTGACTAGTACATCTAATTATACACACATGATCACAAATATTGTTTTATTTATCGAAACTGTAATATAAATAATTGATTTTTTGGGGGCGTACTTGAAATTTTCAGGTGGGGGGTACTTAAATTTCAGGGGAAGGGTGGACATTGGTAAAAGTATGTTTTGTATATAAATTCCATTTTGTTCTGGGGCAGAGCCCCCCCCCCCCCCCTCCTCCGAAATGATGCCTGAAAGAAACTCTGCCCTCAGTGAATTTGCAAAAGACGATCCGGTCCAGTCCCAGATGTCATCCAGCCATTTTCTTTTTTGTTACCCTCGCTATTCCCCACCTCCTCACAGGCGTACATTAGGACATCAGATATCTTATTTTTAACGCAAAGATCCGTCTCTGGGGGCTTGTATTGAGTGTTCATGGCTCTCATCCACGAATGCAACTTACTATGCGAACAGCTCCCAATCTAACACCAGGAATCTCCTTTAAAAGTTAACAAAGTAAAACTGGTATCGGGAACCTTTGGAGGTAAATATTACTGGGGCATGACAACTGTACACAGGTAATTCACATTTCTGCTATATGTAGCTTGAGCTCTGTTTTATGAAGAGTGTTAACCAACCCCCATGACTCAATCGTTTCACCTGAATCGTGACCATTGTTATTATTCTGGTTTGTTATAATTTTAATGTCACGCGCTAGTACATTTACAGCAGTACTAAATTAGTTTGGATTCAATGGTATTAAATACTTCAGTTAGTGTAATTCTGAAAACTTACAAATAAAATGTAAGTTTTTCGATATTTGCAATTTTTATATTTGTAAATATAGTGTAAATATAAGTCAAGGTCATAATTAAATATCTATAAATACTACTTAACACCCCAAAGTCAACAGTTAACACAGTCAACAATTGTTTCACCATAAATAACCATTTAACATAAATATTTACATCTCTGTTTCTCATTAGTGTCCAATAAATGTGACGTTTGTATAACAATCTGCAAAAATATAGGTCAAGGTCATAAATAAATATCTATAAATATTACTTAACACCCCAAAGTCAGCAGTTATCAAAGTCAACAATTGTTTTACCATAAATAACCATTTAACAAAAACATCTGCATCTGTGTTTCTCGCTAGTGTCCAATAAATGTGACGTTTGTGTAACAATCTACATGGGGCCATTCGTTGCTAGCGTCCCACTTATGGGACGCTTGTTGTACATTTGATATAACGAAGTAGTAAAAAAATTGTTATTCTTAAATTTTTAGCAGATAGAAATATGGTACTGCTACAAGTTTAAAATGTATTTTGCACTTAAAATGTTAATATTTTAGAAGATATGCATTTTCCTGTGCGCATGTTTTCTTTTTTTCCGCCATTTTGACAAGTCCTGCAAATCCGGCACTATAACATTTTTCTAAATTAATTTTTTTTCACAAAACACACACATTCAATAATCTAACCATTTTCAAATACAATGAAACATAATTTGTGTTTTAACTAGTTTGTAGTAAATTTTGGCATTTTTTTACAAGCGTCCAATAAGTGGGACGCTAGCAGAATATGGGTTAACTTAAATTATTGATGAGTTAAATATATTTTCAAATTACCTCCCTTGCAAAAATTACAACAAAAAATTGAATTAATTAGTTTTTTCGACCAACTTTATGAAAATGTATCCATTTTTTCTAGGAATAAAAACGAAAATGATATTTGACATTGATCTTTTTAATATGTTTTAGCAATGTGCGTGTATTTAATATTTTCTTTACGTTATACAAAAGAGTAAAAAAGAGTGGCAATTATAAAATAGCTCTATGTCGTTATATAAACAAACCATACTCTATTACATATAATAAGATGCTTCGACGCACTGAAAAGCACTGTATGGTGCGATGTTTACTTTTATGATTCCAAAATCTATAGCGATGACAGAAGGACAGACACAGCCCGCTTATATTATACGAGCAGACCCGCTGCGTATCATACGCCGCTATTTAGTTGTTTTTTCTGCTTTTCAGTAATTCATAATTTGTGAATTCGACAGTACCAATGCTGCCCCTGAAAATATTTGCTTTAAAACACTAAACCCCCATCCCCCCCCCCCCCCTCCTCTTAGTTACCTCCACTAAGTTTATAATAGTTTCAAACTGAATTATCTGCCCCTAATTAGCCGTCACCAAACTAAACATTTAGCGTTAACTACAACTCATCTGACCATGTTAGAGGGGGGGGGGGGGGGGTGGGGGGATGGTAGCGATAGAGAAGAAGAGAGGGGACTGCAAGGCGCGCGCTTGCAGCTTGTTTTCTAACGGCCCCCAGAAGAGAATTATATATATAGATACTATTAAACCTTACTTATTGATAATTAATATACATATATGGCCAACCTTAAAGCAGTTACTATAGTAACGATTTCACAACCATGACGAAAGTATTTTTTTTGCTTTAACAACATGACGAGACTTTTTTTTTCTCATACCAGCGAACATCATACGCTAAATCCTCACGAACTTTTATGCCGCATGACTATCATATCCGCTACACATCATTTTTATACACACAAAAAATTTTCATACTCCAATACTTTTATACTTACCACGTATTGTCCTCACTCTTAAAAAATGTGTTATTGTGATCAATCCATGAATGGTCTTTTTTTATATTTTAAGAGATATCTTCTAAAATGATATATTATCATCTATATATATAATTCTCTTCTTGGAGACGTTAGAAAGCAAGCTGTAAGCGCGCCTTGCAGTTCCCTCTCTTCCTCTCAAGGAAGTTTGGTGATCTTTGGTTCACGCTAAATGTTTACAATGGTAGAGCCGGGTTTAGTGACGGCTGTTAGGGGCAGATAATTTAGTTTGAAACGATTTTTAACTTAGGGGAGGTAGCTAAGATTAGGCTACTTTCACGAGGGGGGGGGGGCAGGGGTGTTAGGGGTTGGGGGAAAGGGGGGGTTATCCTCCTTAACGACTTATTGATAGTCTTTTAAAGCAAATATTTTCAGTGACAGCAGTGGTACTGTCGAATTCACAAATTATGAATTACTGAAATCTAGAAAATAAAACAACTAAATAGCGGCGTATGATTAGCGGCGTACGATACGCCGCGGGTCGGCTCGTGTTAAATATTTATTGAAATTGCGTGAATGTCAGAGCAAACGGCTTAGCCCAACTAGATTAGCGCCTACGTCGTTAATCTTTAGACAGTTACACGTTTTAGTTGTTATTTTCTTATGTTTCGAGCTTTGAAATTATGTATATTGAAAGTAATTCCTTTTCTTTTTTTTTAAATAATGTTCAATTATGCATATTGTAAAACGTACTATAGTTTGATCACATGTGCTGTATATTTTTACGAATAGCCCTATGTACACGCTCAAAGTTGACGTCGACACCGCTGTCTACGCTTTCCAAAATTACGACTGTTAAATACCAACGTGAAATTCTTTCTTCTTTATTTTTCTGTAACGTTAAGAGTAAAACAAATCATTATAAAAAACCTCAGACTTTCACAAACGTATGCCTTCAAACATAAGGTTGCATGTAAAACTTAACAGTGATAAAATGTGGGGAAAACTGGTAAGATACTAATGGCAAAAAAATACAAAGGCGCAAATGGGGATGATTTGGAGACACACTGCATGAACCAACCAACAACATTATCCGACAGATTGTGGATTAGAATCACCAACGGACAAGAAAAGTATGCAGGCCCAAACAACAAACATGGAAATGATCAGCTGTCAGTGAATCATAAGCAGCGTGAATGAAGTGGGCGCAGCTTGGAGGGATCGCACACAACCGAGTACAATGGAGAATAGTGGTTATGTCCCTTTGCTAAGTGTCCAAAGAATAATGATGGAGATGATGATAAGCATTATGTATAAAGTTTACTTGTTCACCATGTTCGAAATATTTTGAATTTCTTTTGCGCTATTAAGACGAACGTTTAAAACATGTTTTCCATTTATATCTCTGTGTTCATAAAATATAATGGTTATGAATTTAGAGGTAGTTTCCTTTTTTTAATAGGTGCATTTTCTTTAAACGGTAAATAATTATTTATTTTACACTGTACTTTCCTGGTTTTTTTAATCATTGCAATAGACTAATGTGTTATTATTTTTAAAAGAGTCCAGTTTTAGTGTTTTAGTATTGGTTTAATATTTAATCATTCACAGCTTTTACACACTTTCTTAACCACCCCTCGCGGCGCACGAATTATGCTATACTTTGAAGTTCGTTGTTTAAAAATGCAATATCATGCAGCCCAAAAGCTGTGTAAACGATCTTCTTTTTTTGCCTAACAGAATGTAGTGACACTTATTTTGGTCTTAACTGTACACAAAGATGCAGCAAAAACTGTACAAACCAGCTATGTGATCAAGTCAATGGTATATGTTACAGTTGTTCTCCTGGAAAACAAGGAGCGTTTTGTGATCAAGGTGAGATAAACGTAAACATTGCCGTTGGAACAATCATCCGTTTTAAAATATGTTTAATTTAAACATGTGTAAAGTAATGTACAACTTAATAATGTTCCATGCATGTACGTTACATTTACTATTCATTATATAATGTGCTTCTTTTTTAGCCAAATATATTTAGCAAACTATCAGTGTTCAATTTTTTTTAAATTCCATTTTAATTACAAAAAAAAAATTAATTATATACACAGTTTAAAACATTTAATTCACTATCCATCTTAAAAGTACATTTTTGTGAAATCTCAATTACATTTTCGTATTTAATTATGAAAAGAAATATGTAATTTATTACATTTTACTGAACACCATCAGACTGTAACGACACCTTTTACGGCCAGAACTGTATACAAAGATGTAGCACCAACTGCACAAACCAACTGTGTAACAATGTTATTGGTACCTGTAACAGTTGTGTTGTTGGTAAAAATGGAAGCTTATGTGATGAGGGTAAGTCATGTACATTTAGAGCGCAGCTGAGGTAATATCTTAAAAACATACTGTTCACAGTAAATTTTTCATCCAGTTGGTGCCGGCATAGCCAAAGAACAGGCAAAAATTATAAACTTTCATTTATCAGACGCCCAAAAAAATGCAGTTTTGAAATAAAAGTTTATGCCAAATGTTACGTAACTTCTGGATATTATAGTTGGATTTTTTTGCTCGTGCACTTCGGATCTTACAATAGGAATTATTTAAAATACTATTAAACCTTACTAATTTGGCAGTATAAGTTATTGATAATTAATATACATCTTTGGCCAACCTTAAAGCAGTTACTATAGTAACGATTTCACAACCATGACGAAAGTATTTTTTTTTTTTGCTTTAACAACATGACGAGACTTTTTTTCTCTCATACCATCGAACATCATACACTAAATCCTCACGAACTTTTATGCCGCATGACTATCATATCCGCTACACATCATTTATTTACACACAAAAAAATTTCATACTCCAATACTTTTATACTTACCGCGTATTGTCCTCACTCTTAAAAAAAAATGTGTTATTGTAATCAATCCATGAATGGTCTTTTTTTATATTTTAAGAGATATCTTCTAAAATGGTATATTATTATCTATATATATAATTCTCTTCTTGGAGACGTTAGAAAGCAAACTGTAAGCGCGCCTTGCAGTTCCCTCTCTTCCTCTACAGGAAGTTTGGTGAGCTTTGGTTCACGCTAAATGTTTACAATGGTAGAGCCGGGTTTAGTGACGGTTGTTAGGGGCAGATAATTTAGTTTGAAACGATTTTTAACTTAGGGGAGGTAGCTAAGAGTAGGCTATTTTCACGGGGGGGGGGGACCGGGGGTGTTAGGGGTTGGGGGAATGGGGGGGTTATCCTCCTTAACGACTTACTGATAGTCTTTTAAAGCAATTATTTTCAGTGACAGCAGTGGTACTGTCGAATTCACAAATTATGAATTACTGAAAAGTAGAAAATAAAACAACTAAATAGCGGCGTATGATTAGCGGCGTACGATACGCCGCGGGTCGGCTCGTGTTAAATATTTATTGAAATTGCGCGAATGTCAGAGCAAACGGCTTAGCCCAACTAGATTAGCGCCTACGTCGTTAATCTTTAGACAGTTACACGTTTTAGTTGTTATTTTCTTATGTTTCGAGCTTTGAAATTATGTATATTTAAAGTAATTCCTTTTCTTTTTTTTTAAATAATGTTCAATTATGCATATTGTAAAACGTACTATAGTTTGATCACATGTGCTGTATATTTTTACGAATAGCCCTATGTACACGCTCAAAGTTGACGTCGACACCGCTGTCTACGCTTTCCAAAATTACGACTGTTAAATACCAACGTGAAATTCTTTCTTCTTTATTTTTCTGTAACGTTAAGAGTAAAACAGATCATTATAAAAAACCTCAGACTTTCACAAACGGATGCCTTCAAACATAAGGTTGCCTGAAAAACTTAACAGTGATAAACTGTGGGGAAAACTGGTAAGATACTGATGGCAAAAAAATACAAAGGCGCAAATGGGGATGATTTGGAGACACACTGCATGAACTAACCAACAACATCATCAGACAGATTGTGGATTAGAATCACCAACGAACAAGAAAAGTATGCAGGCCCAAACAACAAACATGGAAATGATCAGCTGTCAGTGAATCATAAGCAGCGTGAATGAAGTGGGCGCAGCTTGGAGGGATCGCACACAACCGAGTACAATGGAGAATAGTGGTTATGTCCCTTTTCTAAGTGTCCAAAGAATAATGATGGAGATGATGATAAGCATTATGTATAAAGTTTACTTGTTCACCATGTTCGAAATATTTTGAATTTCTTTTGCGCTATTAAGACGAACGTTTAAAACATGTTTACCATTTATGTCTCTGTGTTCATAAAATATAATGGTTATGAATTTAGAGGTAGTTTCCTTTTTTTAATAGGTGCATTTCCTTTAAACGGTAAATAATTATTTATTTTACACTGTACTTTCCTGGGTTTTTTAATCATTGCAATAGACTAATGTGTTATTATTTTTAAAAGAGTCCAGTTTTAGTGTTTTAGTATTGGTTTAATATTTAATCATTCACAGCTTTTACACACTTTCTTAACCACCCCTCGCGGCGCACGATTTATGCTATACTTTGAAGTTCGTTGTTTAAAAATGCAATATCATGCAGCCCAAAAGCTGTGTAAACGATCTTTTTTTTTGCCTAACAGAATGTAGTGACACTTATTTTGGACTTAACTGTACACAAAGATGCAGCAAAAACTGTACAAACCAGCTATGTGATCACGTCAATGGTATATGTTACAGTTGTTCTCCTGGAAAACAAGGAGCGTTTTGTGATCAAGGTGAGATAAACGTAAACATTGCCGTTGGAACAATCATCCGTTTTAAAATATGTTTAATTTAAACATGTGTAAAGTAATGTACAACTTAATAATGTTCCATGCATGTACGTTACATTTACTATTTATTATATAATGTGCTTCTTTTTTTAGCCAAATATATTTAGCAAACTATCAGTGTTCAATTTGTTTTAAATTCCATTTTAATTACAGAAACAAAAATAAATTATATACACTTTTTAAAACATTTAATTCTCTATTCATCTTAAAAGTACATTTTTGTAAACGCTTAATTACGTTTTCGTATTCAATTATGAAAAGAAATATGTAATTTATTACATTTTACTTAACACCATCAGACTGTAACGACACCTTTTACGGCCAGAACTGTATACAAAGATGTAGCACCAACTGCACAAACCAACTGTGTAACAATGTTATTGGTACCTGTAACAGTTGTGTTGTTGGTAAAAATGGAAGCTTATGTGATGAGGGTAAGTCATGTACATTTAGAGCGCAGCTGAGGTAATATCTTAAAAACATACTGTTCACAGTAAATTTTTCATCCAGTTGGTGCCGGCATAGCCAAAGAACAGGCAAAAATTATAAACTTTCATTTATCAGACGCCCAAAAAAATGCAGTTTTGAAATAAAAGTTTATGCCAAATGTTACGTAACTTCTGGATATTATAGTCGGATTTTTTTGCTCGTGCACTTCGGATCTTACAATAGGAATTATTTAAAATACTATTAAACCTTACTAATTTGGCAGTACAAGTTATTGATAATTAATATACATCTTTGGCCAACCTTAAAGCAGTTACTATAGTAACGATTTCACAACCATGACGAAAGTATTTTTTTTTTTTGCTTTAACAACATGACGAGACTTTTTTTTTCTCATACCCGCGAACATCATACACTAAATCGTCACGAACTTTTATGCCCATGACTATCATATCCGCTACACATCATTTATTTACACAAAAAAAAAACTTCACACTCCAATACTTTTATACTTACCGCGTATTGTCCTCACTCTTAAAAAATGTGTTATTGTGATCAATCCATGAATGGTCTTTTTTATATTTTAAGAGATATCTTCTAAAATGGTATATTATCATCTATATATATAATTCTCTTCTTGGAAACGTTAGAAAGCAAGATGTAAGCGCGCCTTGCAGTTCCCTCTCTTCATCTCAAGGAAGTTTGGTGAGCTTTGGTTCACGCTAAATGTTTACAATGGTAGAGCCGGGTTTAGTGACGGTTGTTAGGGGCAGATAATTTAGTTTGAAACGATTTTTAACTTAGGGGAGGTAGCTAAGAGTAGGCTACTTTCACGGGGGGGGGGGGGCGAGGGTGTTAGGGGTTGGGGAAAGGGGGGGGGTTATCCTCCTTAACGACTTACTGATAGTCTTTTAAAGCAAATATTTTCAGTGACAGCAGTGGTACTGTCGAATTCACAAATTATGAATTACTGAAAAGTAGAAAATAAAACAACTAAATAGCGGCGTATGATTAGCGGCGTACGATACGCCGCGGGTCGGCTCGTGTTAAATATTTATTGAAATTGCGTGAATGTCAGAGCAAACGGCTTAGCCCAACTAGATTAGCGCCTACGTCGTTAATCTTTAGACAGTTACACGTTTTAGTTGTTATTTTCTTATGTTTCGAGCTTTGAAATTATGTATATTGAAAGTAATTCCTTTTCTCTTTTTTTAAATAATGTTCAATTATGCATATTGTAAAACGTACTATAGTTTGATCACATGTGCTGTATAATTTTACGAATAGCCCTATGTACACGCTCAAAGTTGACGTCGACACCGCTGTCTACGCTTTCCAAAATTACGACTGTTAAATACCAACGTGAAATTCTTTCTTCTTTATTTTTCTGTAACGTTAAGAGTAAAGCAAATCATTATAAAAAACCTCAGACTTTCACAAACGGATGCCTTCAAACATAAGGTTGCCTGAAAAACTTAACAGTGATAAACTGTGGGGAAAACTGGTAAGATACTAATGGCAAAAAAATAACGAGGCGCAAATGGGGATGATTTGGAGACACACTGCATGAACTAACCAACAACATCATCAGACAGATTGTGGATTAGAATCACCAACGAACAAGAAAAGTATGCAGGCCCAAACAACAAACATGGAAATGATCAGCTGTCAGTGAATCATAAGCAGCGTGAATGAAGTGGGCGCAGCTTGGAGGGATCGCACACAACCGAGTACAATGGAGAATAGTGGTTATGTCCCTTTTCTAAGTGTCCAAAGAATAATGATGGAGATGATGATAAGCATTATGTATAAAGTTTATTGGTTCACCATGTTCGAAATATTTTGAATTTCTTTTGCGCTATTAACACGAACGTTTAAAACATGTTTACCATTTATGTCTCTGTGTTCATAAAATATAATGGTTATGAATTTAGAGGTAGTTTCCTTTTTTTAATAGGTGCATTTTCTTTAAACGGTAAATAATTATTTATTTTACACTGTACTTTCCTGGTTTTTTTAATCATTGCAATAGACTAATGTGTTATTATTTTTAAAAGAGTCCAGTTTTAGTGTTTTAGTATTGGTTTAATATTTAATCATTCACAGCTTTTACACACTTTCTTAACCACCCCTCGCGGCGCACGATTTATGCTATACTTTGAAGTTCGTTGTTTAAAAATGCAATATCATGCAGCCCAAAAGCTGTGTAAACGATCTTTTTTTTTGCCTAACAGAATGTAGTGACACTTATTTTGGACTTAACTGTACACAAAGATGCAGCAAAAACTGTACAAACCAGCTATGTGATCACGTCAATGGTATATGTTACAGTTGTTCTCCTGGAAAACAAGGAGCGTTTTGTGATCAAGGTGAGATAAACGTAAACATTGCCGTTGGAACAATCATCCGTTTTAAAATATGTTTAATTTAAACATGTGTAAAGTAATGTACAACATAATAATGTTCCATGCATGTACGTTACATTTACTATTCATTATATAATGTGCTTCTTTTTCAGCCAAATATATTTAGCAAACTATCAGTGTTCAATTTTTTTTTCAATTCTATTTTAATTACAAAAACAAAAATAAATTATATACACAGTTTAAAACATTTAATTCACTATCCATCTTAAAAGTACATTTTTGTGAAATCTCAATTACGTTTTCGTATTTAATTATGAAAAGAAATATGTAATTTATTACATTTTACTGAACACCATCAGACTGTAACGACACCTTTTACGGCCAGAACTGTATACAAAGATGTAGCACCAACTGCACAAACCAACTGTGTAACAATGTTATTGGTACCTGTAACAGTTGTGTTGTTGGTAAAAATGGAAGCTTATGTGATGAGGGTAAGTCATGTACATTTAGAGCGCAGCTGAGGTAATATCTTAAAAACATACTGTTCACAGTAAATTTTTCATCCAGTTGGTGCCGGCATAGCCAAAGAACAGGCAAAAATTATAAACTTTCATTTATCAGACGCCCAAAAAAATGCAGTTTTGAAATAAAAGTTTATGCCAAATGTTACGTAACTTCTGGATATTATAGTCGGATTTTTTTGCTCGTGCACTTCGGATCTTACAATAGGAATTATTTAAAATACTATTAAACCTTACTAATTTGGCAGTGCAAGTTATTGATAATTAATATACATCTTTGGCCAACCTTAAAGCAGTTACTATAGTTACGATTTCACAACCATGACGAAAGTATTTTTTTTGCTTTAACAACATGACGAGACTTTTTTTTTCTCATACCAGCGAACATCATACACTAAATCCTCACGAACTTTTATGCCGCATGACTATCATATCCGCTACACATCATTTATTTACACACAAAAAAATTTCATACTCCAATACTTTTATACTTACCGCGTATTGTCCTCACTCTTAAAAAATGTGTTATTGTGATCAATCCATGAATGGTCTTTTTTATATTTTAAGAGATATCTTCTAAAATGATATATTATCATCTATATATATAATTCTCTTCTTGGAGACGTTAGAAAGCAAGATGTAAGCGCGCCTTGCAGTTCCCTCTCTTCCTCTCAAGGAAGTTTGGTGAGCTTTGGTTCACGCTAAATGTTTACAATGGTAGAGCCGGGTTTAGTGACGGCTGTTAGGGGCAGATAATTTAGTTTGAAACGATTTTTAACTTAGGGGAGGTAGCTAATAGTAGGCTATTTTCAGGGGGGGGGACCGGGGGTGTTAGGGGTTGGGGGAAAGGGGGGGGGGTATCGTTCTGAACGACTTACTGATATTCTTTGAAAGCAAATATTTTCAGTGACAGCAGTGGTACTGTCGAATTCACAAATTATGAATTACTGAAAAGTAGAAAATAAAACAACTAAATAGCGGCGTATGATTAGCGGCGTACGATACGCCGCGGGTCGGCTCGTGTTAAATATTTATTGAAATTGCGTGAATGTCAGAGCAAACGGCTTAGCCCAACTAGATTAGCGCCTACGTCGTTAATCTTTAGACAGTTACACGTTTTAGTTGTTATTTTCTTATGTTTCGAGCTTTGAAATTATGTATATTTAAAGTAATTCCTTTTCTCTTTTTTTAAATAATGTTCAATTATGCATATTGTAAAACGTACTATAGTTTGATCACATGTGCTGTATATTTTTACGAATAGCCCTATGTACACGCTCAAAGTTGACGTCGACACCGCTGTCTACGCTTTCCAAAATTACGACTGTTAAATACCAACGTGAAATTCTTTCTTCTTTATTTTTCTGTAACGTTAAGAGTAAAACAAATCATTATAAAAAACCTCAGACTTTCACAAACGGATGCCTTCAAACATAAGGTTGCCTGAAAAACTTAACAGTGATAAACTGTGGGGAAAACTGGTAAGATACTAATGGCAAAAAAATACAAAGGCGCAAATGGGGATGATTTGGAGACACACTGCATGAACCAACCAACAACATCATCAGACAGATTGTTGATTAGAATCACCAACGAACAAGAAAAGTATGCAGGCCCAAACAACAAACATGGAAATGATCAGCTGTCAGTGAATCATAAGCAGCGTGAATGAAGTGGGCGCAGCTTGGAGGGATCGCACACAACCGAATACAATGGAGAATAGTGGTTATGTCCCTTTTCTAAGTGTCCAAAGAATAATGATGGAGATGATGATAAGCATTATGTATAAAGTTTATTGGTTCACCATGTTCGAAATATTTTGAATTTCTTTTGCGCTATTAACACGAACGTTTAAAACATGTTTACCATTTATGTCTCTGTGTTCATAAAATATAATGGTTATGAATTTAGAGGTAGTTTCCTTTTTTTAATAGGTGCATTTTCTTTAAACGGTAAATAATTATTTATTTTACACTGTACTTTCCTGGTTTTTTTAATCATTGCAATAGACTAATGTGTTATTATTTTTAAAAGAGTCCAGTTTTAGTGTTTTAGTATTGGTTTAATATTTAATCATTCACAGCTTTTACACACTTTCTTAACCACCCCTCGCGGCGCACGATTTATGCTATACTTTGAAGTTCGTTGTTTAAAAATGCAATATCATGCAGCCCAAAAGCTGTGTAAACGATCTTTTTTTTGCCTAACAGAATGTAGTGACACTTATTTTGGACTTAACTGTACACAAAGATGCAGCAAAAACTGTACAAACCAGCTATGTGATCACGTCAATGGTATATGTTACAGTTGTTCTCCTGGAAAACAAGGAGCGTTTTGTGATCAAGGTGAGATAAACGTAAACATTGCCGTTGGAACAATCATCCGTTTTAAAATATGTTTAATTTAAACATGTGTAAAGTAATGTACAACTTAATAATGTTCCATGCATGTACGTTACATTTACTATTCATTATATAATGTGCTTCTTTTTTAGCCAAATATATTTAGCAAACTATCAGTGTTCAATTTTTTTTTCAATTCTATTTTAATTACAAAAACAAAAATAAATTATATACACAGTTTAAAACATTTAATTCACTATCCATCTTAAAAGTACATTTTTGTGAAATCTCAATTACGTTTTCGTATTTAATTATGAAAAGAAATATGTAATTTATTACATTTTACTGAACACCATCAGACTGTAACGACACCTTTTACGGCCAGAACTGTATACAAAGATGTAGCACCAACTGCACAAACCAACTGTGTAACAATGTTATTGGTACCTGTAACAGTTGTGTTGTTGGTAAAAATGGAAGCTTATGTGATGAGGGTAAGTCATGTACATTTAGAGCGCAGCTGAGGTAATATCTTAAAAACATACTGTTCACAGTAAATTTTTCATCCAGTTGGTGCCGGCATAGCCAAAGAACAGGCAAAAATTATAAACTTTCATTTATCAGACGCCCAAAAAAATGCAGTTTTGAAATAAAAGTTTATGCCAAATGTTACGTAACTTCTGGATATTATAGTCGGATTTTTTTGCTCGTGCACTTCGGATCTTACAATAGAAATTATTTAAAATACTATTAAACCTTACTAATTTGGCAGTGCAAGTTATTGATAATTAATATACATCTTTGGCCAACCTTAAAGCAGTTACTATAGTTACGATTTCACAACCATGACGAAAGTATTTTTTTTGCTTTAACAACATGACGAGACTTTTTTTTTCTCATACCAGCGAACATCATACACTAAATCCTCACGAACTTTTATGCCGCATGACTATCATATCCGCTACACATCATTTATTTACACACAAAAAAATGTCATACTCCAATACTTTTATACTTACCGCGTATTGTCCTCACTCTTAAAAAATGTGTTATTGTGATCAATCCATGAATGGTCTTTTTTATATTTTAAGAGATATCTTCTAAAATGATATATTATCATCTATATATATAATTCTCTTCTTGGAGACGTTAGAAAGCAAGATGTAAGCGCGCCTTGCAGTTCCCTCTCTTCCTCTCAAGGAAGTTTGGTGAGCTTTGGTTCACGCTAAATGGTTACAATGGTAGAGCCGGGTTTAGTGACGGCTGTTAGGGGCAGATAATTTAGTTTGAAACGATTTTTAACTTAGGGGAGGTAGCTAATAGTAGGCTATTTTCAGGGGGGGGGGACCGGGGGTGTTAGGGGTTGGGGGAAAGGGGGGGGTATCGTTCTGAACGACTTACTGATATTCTTTGAAAGCAAATATTTTCAGTGACAGCAGTGGTACTGTCGAATTCACAAATTATGAATTACTGAAGAGTAGAAAATAAAACAACTAAATAGCGGCGTATGATTAGCGGCGTACGATACGCCGCGGGTCGGCTCGTGTTAAATATTTATTGAAATTGCGTGAATGTCAGAGCAAACGGCTTAGCCCAACTAGATTAGCGCCTACGTCGTTAATCTTTAGACAGTTACACGTTTTAGTTGTTATTTTCTTATGTTTCGAGCTTTGAAATTATGTATATTTAAAGTAATTCCTTTTCTCTTTTTTTTAAATAATGTTCAATTATGCATATTGTAAAACGTACTATAGTTTGATCACATGTGCTGTATATTTTTACGAATAGCCCTATGTACACGCTCAAAGTTGACGTCGACACCGCTGTCTACGCTTTCCAAAATTACGACTGTTAAATACCAACGTGAAATTCTTTCTTCTTTATTTTTCTGTAACGTTAAGAGTAAAACAGATCATTATAAAAAACCTCAGACTTTCACAAACGGATGCCTTCAAACATAAGGTTGCCTGAAAAACTTAACAGTGATAAACTGTGGGGAAAACTGGTAAGATACTAATGGCAAAAAAATACAAAGGCGCAAATGGGGATGATTTGGAGACACACTGCATGAACCAACCAACAACATCATCAGACAGATTGTGGATTAGAATCACCAACGAACAAGAAAAGTATGCAGGCCCAAACAACAAACATGGAAATGATCAGCTGTCAGTGAATCATAAGCAGCGTGAATGAAGTGGGCGCAGCTTGGAGGGATCGCACACAACCGAATACAATGGAGAATAGTGGTTATGTCCCTTTTCTAAGTGTCCAAAGAATAATGATGGAGATGATGATAAGCATTATGTATAAAGTTTATTGGTTCACCATGTTCGAAATATTTTGAATTTCTTTTGCGCTATTAAGACGAACGTTTAAAACATGTTTACCATTTATGTCTCTGTGTTCATAAAATATAATGGTTATGAATTTAGAGGTAGTTTCCTTTTTTTAATAGGTGCATTTTCTTTAAACGGTAAATAATTATTTATTTTACACTGTACTTTCCTGGTTTTTTTAATCATTGCAATAGACTAATGTGTTATTATTTTTAAAAGAGTCCAGTTTTAGTGTTTTAGTATTGGTTTAATATTTAATCATTCACAGCTTTTACACACTTTCTTAACCACCCCTCGCGGCGCACGATTTATGCTATACTTTGAAGTTCGTTGTTTAAAAATGCAATATCATGCAGCCCAAAAGCTGTGTAAACGATCTTTTTTTTGCCTAACAGAATGTAGTGACACTTATTTTGGACTTAACTGTACACAAAGATGCAGCAAAAACTGTACAAACCAGCTATGTGATCACGTCAATGGTATATGTTACAGTTGTTCTCCTGGAAAACAAGGAGCGTTTTGTGATCAAGGTGAGATAAACGTAAACATTGCCGTTGGAACAATCATCCGTTTTAAAATATGTTTAATTTAAACATGTGTAAAGTAATGTACAACATAATAATGTTCCATGCATGTACGTTACATTTACTATTCATTATATAATGTGCTTCTTTTTCAGCCAAATATATTTAGCAAACTATCAGTGTTCAATTTTTTTTCAATTCTATTTTAATTACAAAAACAAAAATAAATTATATACACAGTTTAAAACATTTAATTCACTATCCATCTTAAAAGTACATTTTTGTGAAATCTCAATTACGTTTTCGTATTTAATTATGAAAAGAAATATGTAATTTATTACATTTTACTGAACACCATCAGACTGTAACGACACTTTTTACGGCCAGAACTGTATACAAAGATGTAGCACCAACTGCACAAACCAACTGTGTAACAATGTTATTGGTACCTGTAACAGTTGTGTTGTTGGTAAAAATGGAAGCTTATGTGATGAGGGTAAGTCATGTACATTTAGAGCGCAGCTGAGGTAATATCTTAAAAACTTACTGTTCACAGTAAATTTTTCATCCAGTTGGTGCCGGCATAGCCAAAGAACAGGCAAAAATTATAAACTTTCATTTATCAGACGCCCAAAAAAATGCAGTTTTGAAATAAAAGTTTATGCCAAATGTTACGTAACTTCTGGATGTTATAGTCGGATTTTTTTGCTCGTGCACTTGGGATCTTACAATAGGAATTATTTAAAATACTATTAAACCTTACTAATTTGGCAGTACAAGTTATTGATAATTAATATACATCTTTGGCCAACCTTAAAGCAGTTACTATAGTAACGATTTCACAACCATGACGAAAGTATTTTTTTTTGCTTTAACAACATGACGAGACTTTTTTTTTCTCATACCAGCGAACATCATACACTAAATCCTCACGAACTTTTATGCCGCATGACTATCATATCCGCTACACATCATTTATTTACACACAAACAAATTTCATACTCCAATACTTTTATACTTACCGCGTATTGTCCTCACTCTTAAAAAATGTGTTATTGTGATCAATCCATGAATGGTCTTTTTTATATTTTAAGAGATATCTTCTAAAATGATATATTATCATATATATATATATATATATATATATATATATATATATATATATATATATATATATATAATTCTTATCTTGGTGACGTTAGAAAGCAAGCTGTAAGCGCGCCTTGCAGTTCCCTCTCTTCCTCTCAAGGAAGTTTGGTGAGCTTTGGTTCACGCTAAATGTTTACAATGGTAGAGCCGGGTTTAGTGACGGCTGTTAGGGGCAGATAATTTAGTTTGAAACGATTTTTAACTTAGGGGAGGTAGCTAACAGTAGGCTACGTTCACCGGGGGGGGGGATGGGGGGGGGGGGGGGTAGGGGTTGGGGGAAAGGAGGGGGGGTATCGTTCTTAACGACTTACTGATATTCTTTGAAAGCAAATATTTTCAGTGACAGCAGTGGTACTGTCGAATTCACAAATTATGAATTACTGAAAAGTAGAAAATAAAACAACAAAAATGGCGGCGTATGATTAGCGGCGTATGATACGCCGCGGGTCGGCTCGTATTAAATATTTATTGAAATCGCTTGAATGTCAGAGCAAAAGGCTTAGCCAACTCGATTATCGCCTACGTCGTTAACCTTTAGACAGTTATACGTTTTTAGTTCTTATTTTCTTATGTTTCGAGCTTTGAAATTATGTATATTTAAAATAATTCCTTTTCTTTTTTGTTTTTGTTAATAATGTTCAATTATGCATATTGTAAAACATACTATAGTTTGATCATATGTGATGTATTTTTTTGCGAATAGCCCTATGTACACGCTCAAAGTTGACGTCGACACCGCTGTCTACGCTTTCCAAAATTACGACTGTTAAATACTAATGTGAAATCCTTTCTTCTTTATTTTTCTGAAACGTTAAGTTTTGACCACTTTCGGAAGTTATCCCAGATATGCCAGGTTTTTTGTGACACCCCTGGCGTTCTTCTAGCACCTGAAAAAATATCAAGGGGTATCGTTCAGCAAAAGTTTTTTAATAAATATAGCTCGTATAAAGATAATTCGCAGTCACTTTTTTGCCTTGGTCCAGGGTTATGAGTCAAAATGACAGTTTTTCTATACTGTATGACCATTTATCTATGAGCATGCAAAAATAAGCCTGATGTACAGAGAGTAAGTGCCCTAAAATCGTTGTTGAAATTACCCTCTATTTTTCACATAAAATAGAAAGATTAAATATGGAAATACAACTGGTCAGTTTTGACCCATTTACAGATTTTTCACGGATATGGCAATTTTTTTCTGACACCCCTACGCGTTCTTCTACCATTGGTTGTTAGTATCCCACTTATGTGACGCTTGTTGTATACTTAATATAAAAAGTGTTGTTTTTTTTAAATTGTTACTCTTAAATTTTTATCAGAAAAAATATGGTACTGCTACAAGTTTTAAATGTATTGTGCACTTAAAATGTTAATATTTTAAAACATATGCATTTTCCTGTGCACTTGTTTTCTCTTTTCCGCCATTTTTACATACCTTGCAAAACCGGCGCTATAATATTTTGCTAAATTAAAAGTTTTCACAAAACAAACACAAATACAATAGTCTAACAATTTTAAAATACAATGAAACATAATTTGTGTTTTAACTATTTTTAAACAAATTTTAGCAAGTTTATTTCAAGCGTCCCAAAGCGTCCCATAAGTTAGATGTTTAGCTGTTTAGTTATTTCTTTGCTTTGTCACTAATGCCGTTAAACTTTTAGTAAATCACATAGCGTTTTGACTAATAATTATTTTATAATTTTTTTTTTCAAAATGAATATTAGAGTACAAATATATAGGCCGATAATTCATTTGAAAAGAAAATAAAACTAGAATGAAAAAAAATGTGTTTAAAATACAATGTTTATGCCCTATTAAATAACGTGTTTTCTCCTGCAATCTTAAAATTTCCCTACGAATGGTTTTATATCCGTACTTATATTGTATTTATTTAATTGAAACTATGTATTTCTCATGTATTTGATAATCGTATTCTCCATTATCTCTTGAACATCCAAAGCTCACAATGGGCTTTACAAATTACACAGATGTTGTATTTCCGTGACCTACTTTTTGTTTCCTTTTTGCTGTTTTTTTTCTGACAAGTAGCTCTTTCAATGAGTTGTCGTGACAAAAGTTTAAATATATACTGATTTATAAGCCGTAGAAATTTGATTTCTATAAATGGATAAATAAATAAACCGGGAATGATCTACCCGAAACTTTCTCGGATACTCTTTTATGAAACTACGGGAGATGGCACATCACGATATAGACATGATTTTTAATCCATTATTAACTACTAAAACTTTTAAAAATAGAATAGAATCTCGTAGATAAAAGAATTACACACCAAGTGAAGGCCAAATAAAATGTGTATAATTGTGCAGAATATTATTAGTACTTTATAAATTCACACGCGTTTTATGAGAAATCGGAAATAGCGTAAATTACTACTTCCGGTCAACGGAAATAACCTAAAATTTTATAGAAGGCAGAGAAGTAAAGTTTTTGCTTATGTTAAATTTCATTTATCTAACTGAAATAGTACTCAAGTTATAGTCTTTTGAAAAATTGAAATTATAAAAAGGGCCACTACCGGTTATCAGAAATCGCTGAAAAATCGATACTTATCTACAAATTTGATATAATACTTAAAATTGAAATTTCATAAACATAGCTGTAACGGTACTCAAGTTATCGGGGTTACAGACACATACATACATACCGACATAGGACAAGATTGCAAAACTATGTTTTCCGACTCACAGAGGTGTAAAACGTCGAGATTTGCAAACATCTTGATTTTTTTTTATTTGCACGATTATAAAACTATCTCTATACTTCGTAAACGATAAAGTAAAAAGTTTTAGCGCTTTTAAAAGTACCGAAAAATTCAAAACGGCTGAGGATTTTTCGAGTTTCCATGACAACCAAAATTGTTATCAATCATTTCTTTGCTTAGTTTAATGTGCCAAATATTTCAAAAGTATTCAAAAGGCTTTAGATCTTAAACTGTAAAAATAAAATAAAAAACGGAGCATATCCCCTTAATCGGGAAGAAAAGTTGAATATAGATTGATCAAAATGTCGGCGTTCTACGCGTAATCAAGTCGGAAAAACTGGACTTTGCAACCGTGTCCGTGTGTGTGTATGTGTGTGTGTGAAAACACTAACTTCCCTTAAAGCGCTCAGCTGGTTTCCAGGAAGTGCATTAAAAAATGGGATCAAAATTGCTTTGTTTACAAAATTTGATACGCTCTTGTAATTTTACCATATTTAAGTGTGAGCTATATATTTTAGACCAATTACCCCATATATTAATGGAAAGCTTAAATAATAAAGAATATGATAATACATAACCTATAAACATAAAAACACAATTGTAAAAATGTAAGAAAATTAAATACAAACCATTTTTTACATCATCACAAATAATTTTAATGCCTTGAATAAAGTACACATAAATTAAAAAAAAACACCACAATATAAAAAACAAAGTACCAAAAGAAACAAGTACATATATATCCTTGAAAGAAATAACAAATAGTAGTAGCTACAGGGTCCAATGATACTTGGCAAAGCATTCCGGACACAGTCCAACATTGCAGCCAGAACACTCCCACCCACTTCTGACTCTTGCAGAATGACCTGCAACACACTGTCTTTTTTTGCCCACTGGCAGTTTCACTAAGTCATGGCCATCAAGTGGATGACTGGAAGCAGAAGGCACTGGGGACTCAACATCATTTCTGGTGGTTGATATTTCCTCCCTTGTCCGTTTGCGACGAATAATTTTTGCTGGTGTGAAATTAGAGGACAGGCTCTCCAAAACAGAAATGATGAAGTTGTACCTTGAGAGTACAGGCTTGTCTGTAGTGTTCAGCTTGTATAAGATATAGCTGTTTAGCACAGCTCTACCTAACAAAGAGAAGAAAACATTATTTGTCCATTTGATGGTTCGACGTTCAGCCAGGTACATATAAAGTTTTTCATCCCCCAAGTGTACACCACCTATTGCTTCATTGTAAGCATGAATGACAGCAGGCCCAAGTCTACACCACCCATTGCTTCATTGTAAGCACGAATGACAGCAGGCCCAAGTCTACACCACCCATTGCTTCATTGTAAGCATGAATGACAGCAGGCCCAAGTCTACACCACCCATTGCTTCATTGTAAGCATGAATGACAGCAGGCCCAAGTCTACACCACCCATTGCTTCATTGTAAGCTTGAATGACAGCAGGCCCAAGTCTACACCACCCATTGCTTCATTGTAAGCATGAATGACAGCAGGCCCAAGTCTACACCACTCATTGCTTCATTGTAAGCATGAATGACAGCAGGCCCAAGTCTACACCACCCATTGCTCCATTGTAAGCATGAATGACAGCAGGCCCAAGTCTACACCACCCATTGCTCCATTGTAAGCATGAATGCATCAGGCCCAAGTCTACACCACCCATTGCTTCATTGTAAGCATGAATGACAGCAGGCCCAAGTCTACACCACCCATTGCTTCATTGTAAGCATGAATGACAGCAGGCTCAAGTCCACACC